GCGCGCATATATCTATTTGAGCCTTGTGCTTGTAATTGAACATAGCAAATGTTAATGGCACTTTACACGAACAGAGTACAAAATTGGGCCACTCTTAATCAAACGAAGCCACTTATACAAATATTCAGTGAAAGAAAGTTCTTAACCTTCGGGAAATGTTCATCATCAACCTCAGAATATCAAGTTGTGTAGTCTAGAACGTTTTATATTGTTTTATATTAATTGCCTTCTCTATCTATATGCATGCCATTCAAAAGCTTGGGATCAGTAAGATTTTTAAGGTTATACTCAGTCACAAGCTTTCTTGTATTCAGTTTAGATGCTGCTTTGCCTAATCACAAGCTTTCTTGTATTCAGTTTAGATGCTGCTTTGCCTTCTTTGAATGTGTTTTCCTTTTCATTCAGAGCTCATTGCAACATTTTATGAGATTTATGTATTTCATAAATCTATTAAAATACATTGTAATACAGCACAAACTTTTTGTACTTTAAAAATGAATTCAATCGCAATGCCAATAGTGTTCAGCCTTTACAGGAATAAGACCGATATGGAATAAACACAAACACAACAAATCCACCTTAGTCTCTACATGGCCATGGCAAGAAAGACAAACATGCAACAACTAGTTCAGTGATTCTGCCTAGAAAAGCTTAAAAAACTGCTGACTCTGCTCAGAAAACCGCCAACAACATTTTAGACGGCACACATCAGCAGACACAATGCTGTTGGGTTTATACCAAAATGGCAATGAATTAAGTTGTTGAACTGGAACATAATAAATCAAAGGATTGTGGATAATCACATTTGGTTCTTCATTACACTGAAAATGAAATGTCACTTGGGCACATTGCAGTATCTAATGCATTATGCTCTATATGCACATTTTGGCAAGACTTGTAGATCATCCAGATATTCCATGCATACAGAAAATCCACATGCTATGCATAGTATTCATATACATACTATAGTTGCATGCTACTTTCTTTCCAAAATAGTAGAGTAGATAATAGTTTGAAACAGTAACATACTCGTTTTCTTAAGTACGCTGGCTGTGACGACTCAAAAGGTCACAAGTGTCTGCTTTGCTACATACAGACAGAAGACAGGGTGAAGTTGGGTGAGATCACAGTGGTTTGGTTTGTGGTTAGATCACAAGGCACATAATTGTCTCAATAAAACGTCTAAAGCCAAAAGTGCATGATGATTCTTACTGTGCCAGGGTATAAAGAGATGGATGGATAATTGAAGATTGATAGATAGATCTAATCTGCATGAGTCTTGCAGCTCTGTATAATGAAGTCATGCGGTAGGACAGGGGTGCTGGTAAAAGATTTATACAGCATGCGCTTGACCCTGCGGGAACAATGTGATAGTGAAAAGAGATTAGAGAAATCACATGAGAGAGAGTCACAGGACCGCCTGAGTACAAACTGTTACAAATCCACACAGAGACCTGAGAAAACCTGACACGACGACACACTGCATCTGACGGTTCACACACAGAGCTGTTCACATTACAGTATTCACAGCTGATTCAAAAACGAACGTGTGAAATTGTCCTGAATAGTCCCAGATAGCAGCCTAAAATGAGAGAGATGAAATCATGCTAAAGTACAATGAAGTTCCTGTCTGCATTACACCGTGTTATAACCCGGTGTGACACAACAGGTCATTTTTATGCACAGTTAGGGTGAAAATACTGTGTGATGCAAATCAGAACATTAAGACTATTAATATGCAGTTTTGAGGAGAAGGACTGACCAATGAAATTTTACTGTGGGTGGGGTTATCTGACACAATGCAGAAACAGAAGCCAAACAATCAACAAAATATCCAATTGTTGTGACTGGTTAGTGCAAAAAGCACTTGGAAGATATTTTAGTGGTCACTTTGTGTGTCCTAACCAGGTATGATGTTTACTAGAAGTAAAGTTGTTTTAACTCAATGGAAGGAAAATGTTGAATGGCACAGCATAATCAAAGCCAAAATGAATGTATTTGATATTTAATGTACAGCTATTTAGATTAAAAAGTCTCTGTTGGTGGGACTGCTCAGCGAAACTCCGGTTGCTCTTCGTTTGTCTTCATCTGTTACCATAAAAAGTCTGATTTACATGGAATGTAAGATTTTAGGTTCGAACTATTAACATGTTAAAGAAATAGATATCATAAACCAGCAATAAACTATTTTCTTTGATTATGTTGATGTTTTCTAAATATAAACTGCTCAAAGGGTAATATTAACAGTCCAGATTATTCCAGATTTTACATCGCCTGTAAATGTCAGCCATGAGCTGAATTTTTAAGTCTCCTCTACACGAGACGAGTAATTTGGAAAAATAGATCCTCAGTCCCGCTCGCCAAGACGGTGCTATGATTGTCAGATTTATTGACCTTCACGAATACAAGCCAGATATGCATTTAGAAGAGTTTTGATCTTGTGAAATTATCCAATTCAAGGTAAACATCTGGATTTCCCTAATGCAGAGTAACTCCAGTGGTTTTAGTGAGCTCCTGCAAGATGTTGAGTTTCTTGAGTCTTCAGCTGGCTGTTTTTGTCAGTTCAGCCCTGCTAGAAACAGCTCATTACTTGAAACCTCTCAGAGCGGAAGAAGAGACGTTTACACTCAGTTTTGTACCAAATACATGAAGGAAAACCAAAAGCCTAGATGTTTTTCCTCACTGTTACATGAAAATGCGTCATGCAAATCCTTGTCATGACTCATATGTCTATACGGTTCCTTCAGGATTTGATTGAACTCTTTCTGACCCATCAAATGACATATTAGCCGTCCAACAGAACAGAAAGCAATGCGCCCTAAATCAAATCATTCCCAGTCGTGGTGTCCGGCACACGGCGTACCGCTCAAGTCAACATCAATGTCACATGCTTCAAATGTGTTGTTGTTGTGTAGAAATACAGTGCTGTGTGTTTCTGCTGGAGCCAGATGGCTGGCGCGTTGCATTGGCAGAATATGCATCCAATATGTTCCTTACAGGGATTTATGCCGGATAACGGAAATTTCCCTGCCGGTCCACCTAAGAGCAGCTTAAAGACCAGACAAGACTAAACAGTCATTAGAAAACGTCAGTCAAAAGCGAGTCCGCGGTCAACGTGAGCCAAACACAGATGAACAATAACAGAGAAAGAGCGTAAACGTCCGTTAGCTTACCTGCCTGTGCGACGATGCTGCTGCGTGACCCGGAGGCGTGATCCACGCACCCGCTTTGATCCTATGTCATTAAGTTGAGAGGGAGGGAGTGTGTGTTGAGAGCAGGAGCAGGTCTCAATGTTGACACAGGCATGAGCGGCTCACGGCTGCTGCTGCTGCTGCTGCTGGTACTGATGCTGTTGTTGCCATGGTGATCATTCAGCTCCTGCATGCTGCAGTAGCGCGCTTGCATTCTCCCACCTCCAGAGATGATGTCCAATCTGCTTAAGTGCTGCTGCGCCACTCGCTTGCCCCCCCCTCTCTCTCGCTCTCTCTCACGCTCGCTCTCTCCCCTCTCTGTCTGAGGCTGGATGCATGATAATAAGGGATGGATGTGTGCTCTGTGTTGTCAGATGCACTATGCGTACAGGCTTACGTCAGTGTCAATAGATGTGAGATAATTTAGCTTTACTCACGATTAACACCCTGAGTGTGTCTCAGCACTTACAGTTTAAGTTTAGGATTAATATTTATGTGAAAAATAAACCCAGTCATTCACTTAGGTTGGATTAAACTATTTTCCTTTTAACGATATCTTTCAATTAATCAGCCAATCAATACATAAATACATGTAAAATAATAATACAAAAATTTAGATTTTTTCCCCCTTTTGTGTTCACCTCTGCCTATTACATTAGCATTGGTTGGTATCTTTTAAAAGCCATTTTATGAATGACATTTTTGCTTAAATGGCAAAATAATATTTCAGACTATACAGACTAATTTTAGAATGTTTTGCAAATTACAGTGCTAGTAATTGTCAGAGGTTTATTTTTAGTAGTAGTGGTAGTAGTAGTAGCATTGTTACTGCTAATATGTTAGTTGATGCTCATTAATGTTAATCATTTTAGTAATTGTCAGAGGGATTATTATTACTATTAGCATTGCAATAATTAATATTATTATTTTCATTGCCATTTTATGGATAATTTTATCTTGGAGGCAAAAAGCATATTCATTTACATAATGTATAATAAAAGATTTGAAGTATTGCTGTTTCAAGTCATTTGTTTAATATTGTTTCCGAATTATACAAACCTGTATAATATGTATATAATATATATAATGTATATTTGTAATCCAGAATTTATTAAATTATTTATATAATATATATTATTTATAATATATTGTTTGTATACATATATATATATATATATATATATATATATATATAT